ATCTAAAATAGTTAATGAAGGGGTGAGCTACACTAATCCAGTAAGAATATCACACTAATTATATATACAGAAAACTGAAAATTGGTAAAAATCAGAAAAATAACCAATGGAGTCCTTAATTTAATATAAATTCATTTACTATAAAGAAAGCCATTTATTCTATATTTGCGTAACAAGTCTTTTTCAATAATAACTTATGAAAACTCATATTCATGCACTATTATTTATTATATAGAAGATAACAAGAAATAATAATTTTACATCTTTACCCACTTACCGATATCTCTGGGGGTTTATAGAGATGTCCTCCTACTCGTGAATCTAATATCCAATTAAATAATTAATCAGTCGTCCCCATAATTCGTCCGATAATGGACGCCAAATATTTCACCACCTCGATACCCCGTCCAGTATTAAGGTGAACCATATCTCCTAAACCTTACTGGTAAGGGACTTTCCAGTTTCGTCCGACTAAGGTAACGTTCAAAGTAGGGTTCTCTATGTACTGAGCCCGTCTGCCCTTTTCCGAGTACTAAGTAAGTCTTTTCCATATAGATTTCCATCAGTATAACAATCAACCACGCAATAACCATATCTCATTTTATACTCACAGTTCACTTAGACAACAATATAGTTTAACACAGCCAAATAACCAATCGAAATACTGGTACACAACGCAAGAGAACAAATAACCAAATAACCAAAAGAATCTTAAAAATCACCAGTTGAGTTACCCATAATATAATAGTAACCAAATATAGGTAATACAGAAAAATAAATAAAAAATCAAAACGACTGTGAACTAACCAGTTTTAACTCCACTAGTGACTTGTAATTATTTTTAAAGTTCTTTAATTTTTCATAAAAATACACAATTATTAATTATTAAGTCTCAATTTGCCATAACGGAGAAAAAGGTGAGAGATTCTTACTTGAATCGGTGTCCGAAATACCGAACTTTCTATTGCGCCTACTGGTGGCCCCTAGGTTTATTAAATTTTTTTGTGGAGATTAAAACACGTTTCATTTACCTAAAAATATCTCAAAAAATCTGAAATCGGTGTTAAAAATCATT